AATTGTAGAACGAGATGCACAGAAGAAGTGAGAAAAACACTCAGGAGGGAGAATAATGAAAGCCATGGATCAAATCAACTTGCTGACATACAAGAAGATACTCAGCGCCGATGATGTTACCTAGTTTGATAATGAAATGTAAGAAAACAATCAAGTTCACAGAGCACCAAGGAGCGCAAGATGCTCCCTTTAATTGAACCAGTCGGTTCTTCACGCCCTGCTCCACAATATTGCAATACATTCTTCTCCCTCCTGAGTGTTTTTCTCACTTCTTCTGTGCATCTCGTTCTACAATTTTGTTGCAATAAAGAAACATTTAGAATATGCCGAGGTTGCCCAATTAAACAAACCCTGCCTTATGTTTTCAACATTAAGAGCATGGGAGGTTACATTCTTTGGAAAATAAGATAATGACTATGGTTGAGTTTATGGATGCTTTTCCAGCCCTTTCATTTTCTATGTTCTTTTCAAACTTTTTTTTTTAATGTAATGTAATCCAAACTCGAGTATGTACTGAATAATTTTATGTATGCCGTGTAGTAACCGCTCTTAGCAAAGACCAGGGGATGTTTTTCAGTAGAAACCTACAGAATAAGTGGTAAGGAGATAGGAATGAGTGGCTCTCGACATTTCTTTAATTTAGAGAAAGACTCAAGAGCTTGACCTTAATTCATTCTGGCTGTCTGACAACCACATACTGAAGGCCAATGGGTGACCTAGAGCTTTGACAGCATCATACTCATGGCAACATCTTCAATTATTTCAATCACGAAGTCAGCAAAATCGGTTATCACTCCTTCTCTTAAACCAACTGGACCAAAGCAGCTACCAGAACAGAGGATCTGTGACGTGTCTTGGAATGAAAAGAGAACACTACAAGGCAAAACAACAGCCACGTTTTTTTGGAGGGTGTGATGGAAGTCATTTTAAGCACCTAAGAATTCTCTCTTTCAATGGGATAATCTGGCTAATACTGTTCTCCCACTTTGCATCTCGTTCAGTTAAATGCTTTACCACCTAAATACATATGCATTATTGGATTTATGCTAAAGACACAGTTCTAACTGATGGCATACTGGCGTGAAATAACTCAAGCAAGCAAGTAATCCACACTTTAATA